GCCGGCGCTCGCTCCCCACGGGTGGCGCCCAGGGCGCCGCAGCTGGAGCGCCCCGCCCCCGCGCGCTCTGGAGAGCGCGCAGTCGGGGGGCGACGCGTGGAGCGGCAGCGAAGGCTGCAGGAAGGGTGCCCTTGCAGGGCCTCCAGAGGGGCCCTTTTCGGGGCCCCGGAAGGGGGGCCCGGAGGGCCCGAAAAGAGCACCTTTTTCTCCCCTCCACTCAGCGCCCCCCCATCAAACTACTCCGCGCGCAGGCGCCAGGGGAGAAGGGGTGCTCCCAGCGCCGGCCCGGGACGCCCGCGCGGGCCTCGGAGAGTGTGTGTTGCGCGTGCGGCGTACAGCCCAGACCAGCGCTGAGGAGGGGCACTTCTCGCAAGGGTTCACGCTGAGCCTTTTCCTTGGCGCTCTCAGGTTGTGCCCTCCTGTCCGATGTGACACGCCACGTGCCCGCTCAGAGCACTGTGCAAGAACTTGACTCTGCGCGGGCACTTTCAAATTCTTCAGGGGGAGAAAAAACACACAGACACAATGAATCGTCGATTCCCCAGAAAACATTGGGAAATATAGGCAGTGCGGGGGAAGACAGAAGCCCAGAAAATATGTGGAAATATGGGGAATATTTTTATTTGTGTGTAAAAATTTGTGTGTCCCAGGGCCCCTTCAATTTTGCGCTGCAGGTTGACCGAAGCCCGTTTGGCCCGATGACCCTCAGCGAGCTGCCCACACTTGGAGCGAATCATGAGAAGACCTTCGTAGCCGCTTGCAGCGTATTCGGCAACATACCTTTTTGTGGCCGCGCGGACCCTGAACGACAAGAACCGCGCGCCGTGTGAACTCCAATCCGGCGTCAAGCATATGGGGCACTCATCGACTAGACGTAAGAGTGACCTTTCGCCGGAGTGACCTTTGGTGCGGGCACAGATGGGCCCCCAGATGGCCACACGCGAAGCGGTAGCAGCGGCTAGCGCGCCTGGATTTGGCCTCCCCGCGGCCCCCCCAAAGCCGCGCACCAAAGGTCACTCCTGCCCAGGGTCACTCTTACGTGTAGCCGAACTCCGCGCGGCGGCGAGCTCGGGGGGCAAGTGCGAGGAGAAGGGGCGGGCTCTCTCGGAAGGCCCGGGGCGCCTCTGGCCTCCGGAGAGGTGTTCTGAGCTCTTCCCCAGAGACGCAGGGAACTTGGCATCGCTCGGACGTGTGCATATTCTTTCGCGCCGAGGACCTTCGAGGAGCATCCTCGACCATCTGGCGAAAAAAACACGCACGATATCAAAAAACACAGGGAATGGACGTCCGAGCGATGGCCAGGGAATTTCTCAGAGGACAGGAGGGCTTCTGAGAAGCCCCGCCGCCTTTTGAGAAGGCCTGCTCCTTGCCACTTCCCCCCCCTGACGCGCGGACCACTATCGCAAGTGCACGCAAAGGCCTTTTTCCTAGACTCGGCGCCAGTGTGCAGTTCGCCGCAGTGTGCTGCTAGCACGGCCCACCGTGGGGCCTCTGGGGCAAATGGCTGCGGAGGTGGGGAAGCGCCGCCGCAATCACGCCCATTCTGCCTGCGCAGAGCTGTGCGTGCAACTATCTTGCCAGAATTTGTGTCCGGCCATCCTTTGCACTTCACGCGCGCAGTGTGTGCCGTGGGCGCGCGCATCCTTGGCTTCTTCTCCGTTCCAGGGGTATTGCATCTCTAAGCTCCTGATCGTCGATGTTGACTGTGGCTGTGCTTGCCATCCCGAAGAGGCGGACCTGGCCAAGAAGCTGGCGCAGATGTACAAGGTGCACGACCACAACTGCATCCAGCTGTTCGGGTTCAAGACGGCCTTCGGCGGCGGCCGCAGCTCGGGGTTCGGCCTCATCTACGACAACATCGACAAGGCCATCGAAGAAGAAAAGCGGCTTGAACATTTCATTAAGTCGGGCCTGTCCCTCTACAGGAGGAATATTCAAAAATAGTCCCAAAAAATAGTCCGGGAGCGATCTTTTGATTATTCTTGACTATTTCACCGTATTTTGGGTGTACTGTCCAATTTTCGCTCAAAATCCGCTTGCAGGGGGACATGCCCGACCGAAGTATATGCGGATTTCTTGGATCGGCGCCTGACCCCCCCCTCCCTGCCGCGCCGAGCGTGCCGGGGACGACGCCGGAGGCGCCCCCCAGGGGGGTCGGCGCCAACGCCAGAGATCCGCGCGGCTCTTCGGAAGTTTTCGTTTGTGCCGCTTGTCTTGGCATCGCTCGGACGTGTGCATTGTTCCTTCGGCGAGGACCATCGAGGAGCATCCTCGATCACTTGGCGAAAAAAAAAAAACACGCACGAAACCAAAAAAGCACAGGGAATGGACATCCGAGCGATGGCGAGTTGTAGTCCCCCCAGGCGAAGAAGTTCGAGCCCAAGTACCGCCTGAAGCGGGCGGGCCTCGGGAAGGACAAGGGCGGCGGCGGCAGGCGCGCGAAGAAAGACACCAAGAACAGGCGCAAGAAGGTGCGCGGCAAGGAGAAGTCCAAGGCCGGCGGCAAGAAGTGAGCGACGAGTGGCCCTCCGCGCGCGACCGCCTCGACGGAGTATGGAAAAGTTCGCTTGGCTATGAACGGCCCGGGCCTCTTTCGGGGGCATCATCGGGGAGCATCCTGGCCTCCCCCGTATCGAGGAATCGGGGGTGGGTAGGCCTCCTGCCCTGACACGTCGATTCGGGAATTGGCCGTCTTCGGCTCGCGAGAGGGCTCCGCGGCCGTCATTTTTGCGGGTCCAGGTCCGTCGGTCTCAGCCCCAGGCCGTCTTCGTTGAGGAGAGGTTTACCAAAGGGAGGTCTGCCCACCGCCGAGTCGGGGAGCACCTTGGCCTCCCCATGCCGAGGAAGCGCAGACATGGATCGAGGCGCGTGGGTGAGCGACAAGCTCCGTTTTCGCCTGGCATCGCTCGGACGTGTGCATTTTTTTCTCGGCGAGGACCATCGAGGACCATCCTGGACCATCGAGCAAACAAAAACACGCACGAAACCGAAAAATGCGCAGGAACTGGACGTCCGAGCGACGGCGAGTTCGAGGCAGATCGGCGCGCTCCGGCGCCAGATAAAGCGGCATCGGCGCCACGCTTCGGGGGTGACGCTTCCCGATCCGTGGATTCGGCGCTCAGGCGCCAGGCAGGGCTGGACCTGAACGGTGCTTCTGGCGATTTCGCGGGCCGTTTTCGTTTCGAGTTCGGTTTGCGGGGAAGGCGGATTCGAGACAAAGGCGAGGGAAAATGATAACAAAACGAAAACGAAAAGCACCGTTTGGGTTCAGCCCTGGCGCCAGATCCACAGATCCTTGATCCATGTTAGTGCCGTGCGAGTGTTTGCCCGACTCTGGCCGTCTTGGAGCCTCCCTGAGCGCACGCTGGAGGACGTCCTGCACCAGAGTCTGGCCATCCCTGCATGGTCTGGGAGGCGGGAGGCTGTCTGGACCCCTCTGTCTGGACCCCCGAAACACGTTGACCCCCCCTGGGCCCCCCCCCTCCCCCCTCCGACTGCGGTTGAGGCCAGCTATCCAGGGGGGAGGGGCCCGGGAAGGCCCACAAGGGGCCGGTGGATTCCGAGGGGCCTGGCACCTTGGCTCCGCTCGAGTCGGGGAGGAGTGGGGGGGCGGGGAGGGGAGCGAGGACGTTGGGGAGGGGGGGGAGGAGGCTTCCCCCCTCCACCTCGGCTATAGCCCCTCCCCCGCTTCCCTCTCCCGTCCGCTCTTCCCCTCCGCCTCGCAGCTCCGTTCGCTCGCCTCCCTTACCCATCACACCTTCCTCCTCCCCGCTCCTGCGGCTGGGCCTCCCAGGCATGTCGAGTGGCTCCCTCCTCGCTCCGCGCGCGGCCAGCCATCCGTCGGCCTTGCCCGAAGATTCGAATCTTGATCATGCTTGCCCGATGTTTGCTGGCTCTTCTCACGTGTCCCATGTCGGAATCTGATTTCTGTAAGCCCCCTTGCCTCCAGACGGGTCAAGAAGTTCCAAACGCGCCTGGGAACCCGCGCGTCCCGAGCGCTGGGGGTGCACGCGCCGCGTTCCAGAGAACTTGCGACCGCGCAAGCTGCGCCGTCCCCAAGACCAGCCCTCCGTCCCGAGCAGTCCTGTGACGGCCCCGGGGCGCAGCAGAGGCCCCGAGGGCTTCAGAAAACAGCAAGACTCTTGTTTGACCAGCGGCCCCTTTCCCTCCCCCTACCTGGTCAATTCAAGCTTCGCGCGGCCCGCTTAGCTTCGACCGGAAGAGTTGCGCTCTCGACCCGCGAAGCAAAAAATTGTTTGACCAGCGGCGAGCTGGGCCCAGCTGGCCATAGAGCAAGCGGCGGGGCGCAACCGTGGCGGATCGAGGCACGGGGGCGAGGAGAAGGAGAAGGCGACGGGACGGCCAGAGAAGCCTCAGATCGCGTAGGCGCTCGGGGCGCGAGCCCCAACCCGGTTCCCAGGCCGCGCGGCGCTGGCGGGGGGTCAGCCAGTCTGCGTTCGTCCTTTCCCTCGCCGCCGTCTCGCGTCTCCATCACCATCCCTGCGCCGATCCTCGGCCCTCGATCCTCGATCCTCGTCCTCCTCACTCCTCGATGATCGAGCCCCGATCTGGTTCGAGAATCTCGGGCATCGAGCCTCAATTCCAGAACCTCGATACTCGATCCTCGAACCTCGATCCTCGAGCCTGGATCGATCCGCTCCTCCCGACGGCCACCCCCTGGGCTCAACCCAACGGGAGGAGGGGCGGGAGGAGGAGGAGGAAGAGGAGGAGGGAGGAGGAAGAGGACGAGGAGGACGACAAGGAGGACGAGGACGACGAGGATGACAAGGACGACGACGAGGAGGAAGACGAGGGCGACGACGACGACGACGACGACGACGACGACGACGACGACGACGAGGACGAGGACGAGGACGAGGACGAGGAGGACGAGGAGGACGAGGACGACGACGAGGACGAGGACGAGAACGAGGACGGCGATGAGGCGCACAGGGAGGACGCGGGCGACGGCGACGGCCCTCCCAGCGGCCCGCGGCAAGGACTACTGGGCGCGCCGGAACCGCGAGAGCGCGGAGACGGGCCGCCCCCCGCGAGAGCGCGCTCCCGGGTCGCGGAGGCAGGAGGAGGTGATCGGGGGCCTCCAGACGGGGGTCAGTGCAAACGGGGGTCAGCCAGAGCGCCCGATGTTGCAGGATCCTGCAGGGCCAGGGTCGCATGGACCCGGACTTGGGTGCAGGATCCCGCGGGATCATTCGCATTGGCCCGGGCTTGTGCGCAGGATCTTGCAGGAGCTTGCGGGATCCTGCAGGCCTGACTGACCCAGGTCTGGATTGACCCGGGTCAGGAGGTCCCCGAAGGTGAGGAGGGAAAGGTGCCTATATTGCTACCCTTCCCTCACTTTTCACCTTTTCGGGCCTCCTGGGAGGCCCTCGTCGCCACAGCTGGATTCGTCGAACCCCTGGTCAGAACTCACCCAGGGAGAGGCCCGGGGAGCAGCGGTATCGGTACCTCTTGGTTTCCCCAGGAGGAGGCGAGGGGGGAGTGTTCCACGACTATGCGCTGCGCATCAATGTGGGAATGACGGTGCTGCGGCAGAGTCGCAGTCTGTGTTTGACTGGGTAGTGCTTGCTCGTTGGTTCTTGTCTGTGCCCCGTGAGGCACTGCCCGTGCAGCCTGTGTGCGGTGATGCTGGATCTCGGCCGCACAGAGGTTCTGGAATGTGCATGTTTGGCGGTCGGAGATATGGGGGGAGAGGGAGGAGGGGGGACTCTATCCTCCTCCTCCTCCTCCTCCTCCTCCTCCTCCTCCTCCTCCTCCTCCTCCTCCTCCCTTCACAATAACAGAACCTCTTAAAGAACAGTTACGCCGTACGCAGCGACGGATGGTCGGGGCGATTAACGAGTGGTTCCAGCGACAACGACGCATCCAGCCACCCGCCAATGCCGTCAGTCCCACCCCAGGCAAATGAAGGCAGCATCGACACACCCCAACCGATTCCTCCTCCTCCTCCAACTTCTCCTCCTCCTCCTCCTCCTCCTCCTCTTACATCCTCACCCCACCGCTGGGGAGGAGGGAGGAAAGGAGGGAGGGAGGGAGGCGAGAGCGAGGGAGGAGGGAGAAGGAAGAGAGGAAGAGGAAGAAGTGCGGGTTCAAATCACAGCAGACCGCATGTATGATCACCCGAGCGATGGAATGTTAATTGCACTGTTTGGGATGGTCGAGGACCCAGTCGCCAATCCTCCCACTACTTGTTGCTGCATCCAGTTGCGTAGCGGGGGATCGGCTGTCGACGAATTGGCCGACAACTTTCAGCAGATGCTATCATTGCGAATTCGGTTGTCCTGAAAATGAGCTTAGACCAAACATAATTGCAGAGTGGAGAAAATGAGGAGAACGTCTACACGTTCGATTCCCGTGTCCGTGCCCATGCTTAGACATCGTCAGAAATTGTCGCAATGTTTTTCTGTCCAGCGTCGTGCAGAAACGACAACAGAACTTGTCGCAAGCACGGATTCTCATGCTGTCCCGTTACCAAACGAAACCCACCCTGGCGTAACGCCGCTGTCTCTGCACGCAGCGCTCCGGCATCGCACGACTGGGCAGGATTGCAAGATGGGTTCACGGCACGAGTGGGTGAGCGGTGACATTGGTTGCGACCATTGGGCCAAGCACAATTGAAACAGATAGATTCCGGGAGGCGTCGGATCCATGAAGCGTCATGTCATTTTGAACAGCACGAGGCGGCAACGCCATCGAATAATACCAAGCACAGTCAGCAATACCGACGAGGTAGTGGAGCAATGATTGATAGCGACGTGCCCATTCGTACCTGACAGCGAGGGTCAAGCACACCTGCAACGGATACATGCCAGGAGGGAGCCCTCCCTCCCGCTTCCATCTCTCTCCTCCTCCTCCTCCTCCTCCTCCTCATCCTCCTGCTCCGTCTCCTCCTCCTCCTCCTTCCCTCTCCTCCTCCTCCTCCTCCTCCTCCTCCTCCTCCCTCCCCCCCCCCCGTCCCCCTGCGCGCGGGAGCACGCGCGCGCGACGGTCCTGTGGTCCAAGATCCGCCCCCCTCCCCCCCTCATCAGTACTAACGGGCTCGCCCCCCCTACCCCCCCGCCCCACCCGATGGTCCCAGCAACGCTGGGACGAGTTCGTGAAATGGGCAACAGGCCAAAGTCGGCATCTGAGTCCAGCCCCGCGCGGGCCACCCTGACAGGACACGATCCCCCCCATCTGTGGGCGTGGTGTTGGGTGGTGCCGCGGTGCCCCCGTCACCGACGGTCTGCGTCGGGCACCCGCATGTGCATCGCCGTCCCAGGCACGGCGCAGAATTGCAGCCGTCGACTCAGAGGAGGTGCCAATCTGCAGTCGCGCATGACGACCGCAGCCAGTTTGGGTGGGCATCTCCGATGGCGTCCAGTGCGCGCGCTCAGTCTGGCGTTCGCCGTCGGGGAAGGCCCAAGAGCGAGCAGCTCGCATTCTCAGCACGATGATAACCTGCCTTTGCCTCCCTCTCCTCAAGCTGGGAAAGGACGGAGGGTCGTCGTCGTCGTCGTCGTCGTCCCCCCCGTCTCCGTGTCGCCAGCAGGAGTATGCAGCCTGGAGCGTCAACTCTGGTCTTACGAAGCCGGCTGCCGCGGCCTGAACTCCGCGATGCCAGCCCCCCTGCCGAGGCAGCGGTTCACCTCTTGCGCGTGTGTGTGAGCAAACGTTGGATGGCCAGGGCCATCATTTTTTTGTTGCGGTTTCCTCCTCTTCCCCCCTTCCTCCTCCTCTTTTCGCCAGTTGTCCCTCGTCGTCTTGTTACTCCTCTGCCTTCCCCTTCCTCCCCGTTATCTTCCGCCTCCGCCCCGTCCTCCCCTTTTCCCCCCTCCCCCTCCTCAGCCTTGCCCTCCCTAGTCCTCCTCGTCGTCCTCGCCGTTCTCCTCCGCCTCCTCCTCCTCTTTATCTTCCTTGCCCCCCCCCTTTCCACCTCCTCCGCCTCCCCATGCACCCTCCAGAGCCGTCCCTCGATTCCTGTGCCTCCCCCTTCCCTCTCGTCGTCGTCCTTGTCCCGTCCGCTCCCGCTCCTGCGCCTGGTCCCCGCTTCCTACTCCCGGCTCTCGTCGCCTTGCTGTTGCGCCCGTTGCGCCGTGTGTTCCTTGTGCCGCCCCGCCCCGTTTTCTTCTCATCCCGCCTTTCCTCCCTCTCCTCCGTCCTACCTTCTCCCTCCTCCCCTCGGGTCCCTCCTGCTGTCTCCTCCCCTTTCCCCGTTCCACTCCGTAGCGGCTTGCAACGTGCTCGTCTGTGCTGGGACACGCGCACGGGAAATGGGAAGAAAGGTGCGGGGCAGTGCACGAAAGCAGGCGTCACTCCTCTGGAGGCTCTTACGAAGCAGGCGTCACTCCTCTGGAGGCTCTTCTTCGTGCTCCTCCCCTCCCTCCTCCCTCCGTACTTCTCCCAAGCCAGTGCTGCATCCTCGGTGCCCCGCCCTCCTCGTCTCCTCCTGTGGCCTGGATTTCCCTGGCAATCCCCGCTCAAGGTACGGCCAGTTACCCACGCGCGCACTGCGTGGGCCCATCCCCAGTTATAACGCAAGCCATCCAACACAGCGACGCAGGCTTGCACAAGCCGCCGAGTCGGTCACAAAGAGTGCAACTGCTCATGCGTTGGCGCGCTAGGGCTGTCAGATTTCAAGACAGAGCTCCCGATCCGCCTGGCACACCTAGCGGCCGCCAGGCTCAAAGTGTGCTGGGTTCGTTGGGTGCTCCGCCGCGTGCCTTCGACGAACGACGACTGCGCAGCGTGGCCGCCAGGCCCAAAAGTGTGCCAGTGCTCCCTGGGTGTCCCGCCTCGCGTTCCGGGGTGGGCAATGCTCAAATGCACAATATCGAAGCGCGTCATTGCACCCCGGTGGCCCCGTTGCGGGCTTCAGGCAGCCTGCGGGAGGACGACGCCCCTCCTGCGGGCAAACGCTCCTGGGGCCGGCTCGGGGCCATGGTTGGGTCCCCACGGGTCGCCTTGCGGGTCTTTTGGGTGTGCTTTATTGGAGGCTTGTTGTGCCGTTTTGAGGCCCTCTTCGGGGCCTCTTTGGCAATACGCCGCTTGGCCCCGCTCCGGGCCGCGCATATGCCTCGGGGCACAAGTTGCAAACCCCCCTCTTGGACGCCCCTGACTTCTGCAGTTCCCAAACCGCCAACCTGGTTACCGCCAGGGACCTTGTAGGGCTCTCCAGGGTGTTTTTACCTAACAGCGTTTGCTGATAGGTTTCTAGTAGGGTCAAAAGAGAGCATCATGACTCCTCAGGGGGGTCTGGGCGGGTGCCGGGGAGGAGAACCGGGAATCGTTTTTCGCCAACAGTCACACACTTCGTGCTCTTCGACCTCCCAGAACTCCATTCCCGGGACACATTCTGGAGAACCGGGAACAGAGCCGGGCTCGCTTTTTGCCAACCCTCACACATTTCGTGCTCTTCGACCTCCCAGAACTCCATTCCCGGGCCACTTTCTGGAGGACCGGGAACAAAGGCGGGCTCGTTTTTCGTCAACAGTCACACACTTCGTGCTCTTCGACCTCCCAGAACTCCACTCCCGGGCTACATTTGAGTGGCCGGAGCCAACTGTAGGCCACTTCGTGCTCTTCGAATCGCCAGAACTCCACTCCAGGGCCACATTTTCAATGCCCGGAGCCAACTGTAGGCCACTTCGTGCTCAAAGGGCATGCCCACACGCCGGGTAAAGCCTAAAAGGGTTTTCGTCTGCCTGATCCTTGCCTCCCGCTCTCCTTCTTCTTTCATCGAAGTCAGAACCCCCGCCCCCTATGACGTCCTCCGCTGGCCTGGGTGCTCTACTCAGGTCGCGGAGGGGGATAGGGGGGGGGTCGTTGCCACGGCTGGTGCCTCGATTTCACGACGGGGAGGGGGGGGTGCACCGTTCCCTCGGATGGGCACATCCCCCCCTTCAAGGGCCCCCGAGCCCTCCTTTTCCGTCCTTTCCTTCTCCCTTCTCCTCCCCCAGCAGTAGTAGTAGTAGTAGTAGTAGTAGTAGTAGTAGTAGTAGTAGTAGTAGTAGTAGTAGTAGTAGTAGTCGTAATAGTCGTAATAGTAGTAGTAGTAGGAGTAGTAGTAGTAGGAGTAGTAGTAGGAGTAGTAGTAGGAGTAGTAGTAGTAGTAGTGCTAGTAGTAGGACTAGTAGTAGTATTAGTAGTAGTAGTAGTAGTAGTCGTAGTCGTAGTAGTAGTAGTAGTAGTAGTAGTAGTAGTAGTAGTAGTAGTAGTAGTAGTAGGCCACTTCCTCTTCGTCGTGTTCCCCGAACACCACTCCTGTAACATTTTTTGGTGCCCGACGTAATACGTAGTACTACGTAGTAGATGGCCTGCAATAGTACGGTGTAGCACGTAGTCGTCACGATCATCGTCATCACCCTCTCCTTAGCCTTCTTGGCTACAGCCCTGCTTTCAAAAGAACTGCGCAGCGCCTACTGCACACCTTAATGCCACGGCATGCTGGGAGTTCTCGGTCTGGCGGCGGTGCTACTGACCCTGCTGCATTGAACAGCGGTGCTCCTCAGCCTGCGGCATTGACCAGTGCTGCTCCTCAGCGTGCTGCATTGAGCGGTCCTCTGCAAACGCTAGTCGACCACGTGAAGCAGTTCGGGCGGATACCGAAGCGAAATACAGTAACGTCCGAAGCACGTTCGAGCACGGCACAGGAATTTTCAGATCCTCGGCTCGAGAACCTTCGACTCTCGATCGCGGAGGCGATCGACGATGAAGCGTTGGTGTCAAGATCTTCACATTCGTCTACTTGATCCTCGAACGATTCCCCAATCGAGGCTTCCAGATTCTCGAGCCGTCGTGGATCCGAGATCACAAGATCTCGGATACCTGGCTCGAGAACCTTGAACTCTGGATCGGGGGATCAGTCGAGGATCGAGCTGGTGTCCCAAGATCTTCGTCCTCGGGAGCTTGATCCTCGATGCGTCTGTGGTCGGTGTACATAACACCCTTCGCGGGGCTAAGCGGAGTTATCATGTAAGGACGGACGGACTGATAACATCTCTGAGATTCAATAGCAGCCCTCCTACGGATCAACGAGATCAGGACCTAGCAGTGTCCCCTTTCTCTGTTTCGCCCCACATCCGTTGATAGCTGTGCTTCAATCGGATCTCCATGCATTTATACATGAGCGCATGTCAACATACATTTATATAAAAATCCATACATATTTCGTTCGAACATATATCTAGTGAAGCAGAGTCACATTTGGAAAAAAAAAAAAAAAAAAAAAAAAAAAAAAAAAAAAAAAAAAAAAAAAAAAAAAAAAAAAAAAATGCGATATCGTGCTTCAGACTATGCAAAAGAGTACTTCAGACTATGCTTCCAGCTCTGCTTACGTGCACACCTTGATCGAGCATTGATCCGTCCCTAAAAGTGTTTCGTAAGTGGTTTCTCTCGCAGAGATAAATCAGTTGATAGCAGTGTCCCCTGTCGCTCACATCCATTGCTAGCTGTGTTTCGATTAAACCTCCATGCGTTTATGTCTGGATAAAGCTCATTTCAGCATACATTTATATAACTAGTCAGTCACTCAACTGTGGCAGGCTTGGCATCTCCTCTTCGCCACAAGGGGTGCGCTGTGGACGCACGTCCTTTGAAATGCAAGCTCCCAAGCGTCTCGTTTGAAACTTCATCTGTGTTTAGCAGGGCCTCGTGTAGACCCACATCCGTTGATTGCAGGGTCAGATTTAGAATTCTACAATTGGGTTCTCATATGAATATTAAGGAGGCTGCTCGTATATATGCCTCTACACATCGCTGTTCGGTTGCCTTGCCGGGATAATTTTCGCACACCAGGAGACGCAGGAAAAGCAACCACAGAGCTAGAGAAGCATATGTAAAAAACGCCACATGCATCTTTCAGGCTGACGTCGGTTTCGGCGCCCGACCCGACGCCTGATCTCGGCGGCGCGCCCGGCGGGGAAAGTTCTGAGTTTTCTGATGTTTTCGTGGCTTCCCAAGTGTTTTCGTCGTCGTCGTTCGAGCTTCGATGTTCGTGGTTTTCGGAGGTGTGCGTCTGTTCTCGGTGGCTCGCCAGCCTCGGGGTGTTTTCCAGCAGCTGCGCTTCGCCGAGGGTGTTCCAGGACTGCTCCGATCGCCCCGAATGGCCGCCGGAGACCTCGGCTATGACCCGAAAACCAGATGATCATTGCGGGGGCACGCAGGCACTCTCAGAGGCGGCTGGACTTGCAAGAAGCCCTCCGACGTTCGGCCCTCTTCGGTTTCGCAGAAGGCCCCGCGAGTTTCTCCGGAGCCTGCCCCGAGATCCGACGCTGCTGCCCTGGGACCGCACGCCGCTGCCCCGAGGTCCGTGGCCCGACCCGACGCCCCATCGCGGCTGGGGGCCCTGCAGACCCCCGCCGACGTGAGGTTCTCGACCCGCGGCCCCAGAGGTGCCGGCCCTCTCCCCGTGCCCAGACCCACGCCGCGGGGCCCGGGATCGGCATATTTTTCCGTAGCGCCCAGAGACCCGCGCGCAAAAAAGGAGGAGGAGGAGAAGGAGAAGGACGAGGTCCAACCCAGTTCAACAAGGCTCTTCTCTAAAAAACATAAGGCTTGAGAGGCAGGAATGTTGCTTCCCAGGGCCCGGGATCGGGCCCCGCGGGCTGGGACTGCGGCGAGGCGCCCGGCTGGGCAAAAGTCACAGCGTCGGAGGCCCGCCTCCCTTT